CAGTTAAATCGGTAATCTTCTATCATAACATATAAAAAGCTTGCGACTGTGAAATGTCAACAAAACATTAGAAAAATAGCTGACATCAAAGCCTTCACCGAGTATTCACCGCCAGCGAAGGTTTTCCGTCTTGAAATGTAGCTTCCAAGCTGCGCGAACCTATTCACTACGCATGCGCCATGAGCGTAATGCAGCACAGCTGTTGAAACCGGTGACCGGACAAAATCCACCCCAAAATTGCCACCCCGGACAAAATCCACCTCTTCTTAACAAAAAAATGGACAAAATCCACCCTTCTCAAATTGCTATTGTTAAAAGTTTTAGTGTGTCCTGATCTTTGATCAAGTTGTTTTATCTCAAGCATTGCAAGCATTGCTTTCATAGCATTCATGTTTTCCTAATTGGCTGTTGTTCCTAGATGTTGTTTCAAACATTAAAGGTTTCTCCATTTGTCACATTTTGAAAAGAACCAGAACAACCACCAAACGTCTCCAAGAACGCCTTGAAGGTCTGTGCAAGACCTACGCAGCGAAGCAAAAGACACTCGAGGACTTTCTCCACGGCGTCGGCATACATATGTATTTTGGTTGTTTTTGTTATCGATTATGAATGACTGATATGAATAAAATTCATTTCTGTTACTAAACATGTCATTAGTTTTGTTTTTCTTAGGGTGGAATTTATTAGGGGTGGATTTTGTCCATGGTGGATTTTGTCCTAGGTTGTTGCAATTTTGGGGTGGATTTTGTCCGGGTGGATTTTGTCCTGGATTCGTTGAAACCACTTTTCACCCCAGCTGGGGTGAATTTAGTGAATAGTTTGACCTCCTATTTCACGGGGGTTTTTTTCATCGCGTTATTTTTCAACTTTATAAGTTGAATTTGTCCATACCAAAAGGTATCAGAATCTGCAAAGTTGTGTTTTATGTTGCATGTGACCTTTAAGGAAAGTAACAGCAACTGGTTTAACAGAAAAAGCATAAAAAGTATGTAAGCACATGAGGATTAGTCAAATATTGACACAAACATAACAGAAACAGCAGTCCAATGCAGACTTTGACAATGTAAACACCAGACCTTGAATCATGGTAGCAGTTAACCGCCAGAGGTATTTGAATGACATCGGCCCTGTGCTTATGTCACTAAATTTTTAGGATACAAACCCAACACTGATAAAGCATGGCCCCCAAACACAGTATTTGACACAGACATTTTCTAAAGGCTAGTCCTTGACAATGATAATTTTCAACATTTCAGCAACTGAATGGGAAATGCATGCACACTCAGTTTGTTCAAAATATGTTTTATTTTATGATTTAATGCAAAATGTGCTGTATGTCTGACATATATGGAGTTTATTTATAAATAAACAATATAAACATTTTGATTGTACTGCAGTCAAAAGAGCCCAGAGGGTTTGCTTTGGATTCATAACATGAACCTTGTGTTCACACAAGTATATATCATGATGCACGGGGAAAGCGCATTTTGCCATTTATCGTTTAATAAGCTATTATTTTTATGTGTTTCAGGCAGCAATCTGACTAATGTCAAAATGAAGATGTTGTTTTTTTCAGGAGCATAATTCACAAGCCACTCAGAATTAATTATAAAACTTTGTTCATGTCATATGGACATTCGACAATAGGCTTTATAAGAACTGTAAAACAAATTATCAGTTGAAATTCCAAAGTAAATTTATGTTGACTAAAGTTTCATTTCCGGAGCTCATTTATAAGCTGTTCAAATCTGCATCACGTACATGAGAATCAGTGTATATAGGTAAGCGCTGAAAATGCTGAACTGGAGACTTCAGATTCTTAATTTTTTAGATTTTCCATTTAACAGTTTGGTTCACTTATAGAACATGAATCATTAATCATACATGTATATTTTTTTGTAAAACTTTGAAAATACATCAGGCAACATTGGTGCCTCTTAGTTTTGGCATAAATTTCAGATGAAGATAATGTTTGCGGCCAGAGGCAAACTAGAAACCTTATAGTAGTATATCTATTTATCAATAAACATACACCTTCACATTGTGTGAAGTGGGAAACAGTTTAACCATGATTATGACTAGTTATAAGAGTAAGGGGCGATGGGGTAACCTAATGGTTAAAGCGTTGGCTCGTCACGCCGAAGACCCGGGTTCGAATCCCCACATGGGTACAATGTGTGAAGCCCATTTCTGGTGTCCCCTGCCGTGATGTTGTTGGAATATTGCTAAAAGCGGCGTAAAACCAAACTCAGTCAGTCAGTCAATTATAAGAGTAAATCTCTCATGTCTGTCTGTAAGGACTGTCTGACTTTTGAAGGATTTCGCTTATACCAAGCTACAGAGAACCTGGTGTAAGTACCAAACTAGTAAAAAGGGATCTACTTTGAGAAGAATCTATCAGAAACAAGGAAATAAATTTTGAAATTTCACAAGGAACAGATACTAAAATAGTTATAATTTTGCAGCTTGTGCTTTTATATATTACTTCATTTTTTAGAAATGTGGGCATCATGATCACAAGTGGAAACATCAGCTCTGTCATCTGTTAATGGACAGATGTCATAAAAACCTTTTGTGATGTCATGAACAATGGATGACATCAACTTCGATTATTTCAGACAATATGTTGGTATGAGCCGCTCAGCAAGTAATGGAACAAGGGAACAATTGCCCTGAACTAACCATTCACCATGAGGTAAAATATACGACATAAAATATAAAATCTGCTTCTCTGTGGGTATTATGTGGTTAAGTGTAACAACTTCACTTCACTATCAGTTTACATTAAGATGACCTCTAATATAAAAGACAAACTTTTAATAACCTGCTGAATGAATACTTTTTGCTTCTAGCCCCTTCTGGGCCACGTTTCACAAAGCTCATAGACTAAGCGCTACGACTATCGTATCTCCTGTACTTTAACATAGAATTAGGACAGTTGTAGCGCTAAGATCGCTTTGTGAAACAGGGCTCAGCTCTCTCCAGCAATTCACAGCAAAACTACCATAAGGACCTAGTGAAGTCCAAGAAACGTTTTCTGTACTTTTAATGTACCAAATATTTTCTTACATCATGATACTGATGCTTGGAAGTGGCAAGATTTTAATTCTCAGCATCAGTATTTTCTTGTTAACATCTGTTATTAGCATGATCAAAAAGATATTTTGATCTATGTCATGATACACTGCATGTCCTTTTACTGACATCATAAGTCACAAAATCCTGTTCATTGCAACACTTTATCTTGTGCATGACGTAACTGTAAGTTTCATAACACACGAAATGAATAAGTTTCAGTAAAACTTTTTGGAAATTACAGCATGATTTGTTGTTTTTTCTAACACTGCACTCATCAATATTGCAGCTAATTGGCGGCGGTCTGTAAATAACCGTGTCTGGACCAGACAATCCAGTGATCAAGAGCATAAGCATAGATCTACGCAGTTGGGACCCAATGACATGTGTCAACCAATTCAGCCAGCCTGGACACCCTAATCCCATTGGTCGCCCCTTACGACAAGCATCGGTTGCTGAAGATCAATTCTAACCTGGATTTATAGTATGAGTAAACAATATGCCCGAATTTATAGACATGTCAAATAAAGCCTGAAAACATTTCTACATTACTTTTCCATTTTCAAATCCTGACTCATGACATACTGACCAATCCATCTGTCCATGGGCACATGTGTGCATACTGTAGATGGCTCTGTTTACTCTCCAGTCTACTTTGTTATTTGAGGAACACGACGTTTTGGAGTGTATTCTTACTTCTTCATCAGGTGAATGTTGTGTTAATTTGCGTAAATAAAGAAGTTGACGCCCACAAATTCTCGCCTTTATGCATGTTATGTGTATCAGTTCTAAATGTCATTCAGAGACTCTATATTCAATCTGTCCTCAAGGTCCCTTTGGCAAGTCAAGTCATTTTCATTTTGATAAGGCCAGTCATTTTCTGCAAAAGCTCACAGGACTAAAGAGTAGATAGTTTTACATATTATCTGTTTGACAAATATTGATTTAGGATATAGGATATCTTACACCCTCCTTCGGACAGTTTCAAAGTGAAAACTTGTGTTTGTTAAAGAAAAGGCAATCATGCTTACACCTCACTGACTGAACAAGTTCATTGTGACTTACTACTACAGGGCTCCAGATAAGGTGCGTCTCCGGCGTATGTACAGATAAAAAATATGCACGATACGGTAGGAAATAATTTAGACAACGTAGCAGGTACACACCACAGCAATAGTGTACGGTCTTAGAATCATTTAAAAACGTATTTATCTGAAAAATATTGGTTTATTGTTTATTGACCCGTTTACACAAGACTAGCAATGTTGGTGCATATATGAAATGAAACACAAGATTACTGATACGCCATTAAATTCCACTCAGTACTCTAAATGCACTCCTACGTTTTTCCATTACTCCTGTATTGAAAAAATATGGAGTACGTACTCCTGATATTGAAAAATTATCTGGAGCCCTGCTCCTAACACAATAAATTTCTAGGATGCTTGAATGTAAAGCTCAATATTGTAAACGATACATCACGTTATGGAATGATCATCATGAAAATAGTAGTTTTAGTACTGTGACAATGAGCTCACTATAGTCTGTTTGCGGTGAAAATGTACCAATGAATTTCACTTTAAAGAAAAAGGTAAATCAAATAAAGTGAAATTAAGATTGCATTTCCTCATAACTTTACCTTGCCAATTGAACTTTAAAATCTCAGAATTTTTTTGACCGCACGTGCATTTGTTTCACTGTTCCAACTACTGTGCCTACCCCCTTGTAATACAAACCAATAATAGCAATTCGAAACTATGAAACTACGTGATGTTCAGCCACGTGAGCATAAAATCAGATCTTTTTCCTCCCTGACACAGGTATAAGACATTGTCTGATCTGAAAATATTACTATACACATGTATCAGGCAATGGTAAGTTCAATGCCTGATCTGAACCCTTCATTTCACACACTACTGCCTCACCTTGTCGTCACTGTTCTTGAGCTCCTGCTCAATGTCCTGCTTTTGCCTCTGTTTGAGTATCTCGGAGGGGATGGAGGGGTCATGGTTGCACATGTCCTCCACATCACTGGCCTGGCTACTGGATAGGCCATCATCCACCATGGGCATGCCTAGCGTTGACCGGTCACCATCCGACATCACACTTTCTACCTCCACACTATCACACTCTGTGTTCTCAGGCGACAATGTAAAGCTCTTGCGGTCATCAACCATATTACCATCAGTCCCATTCAGTGGAATCTCAGTGAGAGAGTCCTCATTCACTCGCTCAGTTGGTGCAGGTACTCCTAAATCCTGCAAGATCTTTTGTTGAAGAATCTTCTCTGGTGAGGTTTCTCTGGAACTGTCCAAGGACCCACTGTCCTGACTGTTCATACTGTTTCGTTTCAAATTCAAAGAATCATTGGAACTTGAATATGCTAGCCTCATGCCTACATATGAATTACCCTTCTGTACACGAGCATACTTAACATAGTCATACTCATTCTCAATGTTCAGATTTTTCCTAGGCGCTATAATTTGAATGCCATCCTTGCCATTTTCTATAACCCCAACTGTTGGCTCCCCTGACAGTTCCAATCCTAATGCACGAGGTAAATTTGGCTCTAAATGATTTTCTATCCTCTCCATCTCCCGCTCTGAGCTTGAACCTTCTCTATCACTCCCAGAACCCATGGGATGATCACAAACTCTTCGAGCAAGGCCAGGGGACTGTTTTCGGATTTTTGGCTTGGCCCCCTGAGCGTTATATGTTATGTCGTCAATATCCTTATCATAAGTCTTTATCTGCCCAATTGTGGGAATATTATTCCGGATTTCAAGACTGTTTCTCTTTTTCACTGCATCCATTACATCATTGATCTCTCTAACATTTTCAGACGATGAAGCCTTCCTTCGAAGTATCACATTAGTCTTGCTATCATAGGATCCATTTTCAGACACATCCGCATCATTTTCTTCACCAGTGATCATAATGGGAACATTGTCATAATGTTTGTCTGAAGACACGCTCAAATTCTCTTCTCCATTCTCCTCGGGTTGGAAATCAGACTGTTTGGCAGCCTTATTAGAACTCTGGTTCGTTGATTCCGACTTCCTGGCAACAGCATAATGCTCTGAGAGAGGAAGATCAGAAGACTCAAACCGTTCTATGTCTTCAGGAGGAAAGTCAGCAATGCCTTCAGGGTCGTCCGGCTGATAGGAGTCATTGCTGTCCTCACTATCCCGGCGGGATAAGGACGTGCTTGCTGCTTCGCCATCCTCAAGGAGATTCTGGTATGATATGGAACTGATCTCACTGGGATGTCGGGAACCCTCTTCTCCCATCTGTACCTCCATACTGATGTTATCAGCTCCATCATCGATCATTGACTCGGAGAATTCGGAAAGACTGACCATGAGTTGATGTTTGGGGGACCCACCACCTCGGGCACCGTCTACAGAGTCACCTCCATCCATATCGCAGTGTATGATGTCTTTCACTTCCACATATCCTTCATGGGTTGTCATGACAACTGCAGTTGTAGGAAATGGGCAGACAACTTTGAGGCAGTCACTCTTGTTTGGTCAATCATCTTAAAAAAAATAATAATCAAATGATCAATAAATAATAATTTTATGCAAAACTTTTTGAACAGCAGATCCTTATAATGGAATATACTTCCTTACTTCCCTATATTCAAATCATTTACAACTCACTCACGTTAAAATCAATGTGAAGACAAATTCACATAACATTCACCTGTTCCTTCACTACTTATGAAGTGAACAGAAAATTCACTACTTTGTCAGATTTTGAAATATATTCACAATAAACCTAATGGCACAGAAGTATACACCAGTAAAAAACATATACAAAAATACAAACTGATAATTTGAATGCAACATGACTGGCCCCAGACAATATACCTGACATCAATCATCATTGATTGGCTTACTATGAATCTTTTTAATAGAATTGTGCCTAGTAAAAGGAGACCAACAGGATTTAATGGTCACAATAGCGGTAATGGTAAATGCATGTAACTAAATCCAAACTGCATAATAACTCGGTACTCACGATGTCAAGCACTGGACTGTCCGGTCCAGACGCGATTATTTAAACAACACTATCATACAGCTGGAATATTGCTGTAGGCCATGTTAAACAACAAAACATAATTAATATAACATGGAGGTGATATGATCACTATTTCTGAGCTATGTTATGTTCACTCCAAACCAAACATTACAACTACTGATATCCATGTAAGCTGCACCCTGAGGGGATTCAAGGTCAAACTGAGTGAGGGAGTTAAGTTTCACGCCGCTTTTTGCAATATTCCAGCAATATCTTGCCAGGGGGACACCAGAAATGGGCTTTACACATTGTACCCATGTAGGGAATTGAACCCGTGACGAGCGAATGCTTTAACCGCTTGGCTAACCCACCACCCGATTTCCAGGTCAGAATAGGTACCTTACATCCATCCAAACATGAGTGAATAGAGAGTATTTGTTAGTGTGGAAAAGTCCTCAAACATATGTTAGTTTTAAAAATCACCCCTTGCCCCACTACCATATGCATACAATAACATACTATCATTACAAAACACACAATGAATAAATATTTTCACCACCAAAGTATACATTTATATCATAATCTTTTTGTCACTTTGCTGCCAGGTTTTGCAAAATTGTGCACACTAATAATACAATGTATGCAATCAAGAAATAATGCCAAATTTATCATAAATGTATCTCCACACTTCTGCATTGCTGTTTTCTGTTGCATACACTGTAATACACACATGAATAGATGGACTTTAATGTAAATTTTCATGTCTTTAAGAGTAATAAAGATTACTTACAGACTGCTTTACACTTGAAGCTCAGTATGATGTATTTAGGACGGTAACAAGTTCATTGGCAGTTTGGCTGCCATGTTCAAATCAAAGGACAAAGGAGTGTTTGTGTTAATATTTGGATTACAGCAAGTACTTTTCAGCTAATATTTAATATTTCCCACACTGTTCTCACACATCATAACATCATCAGTAAATCATCCAAACCTGCCAGATCTGACTCCTAAAAAGGCCATTACACAGGCTGTTCTCAAGTAGTGACTGCAAACAACTGCTGATAACCCTCAAACAAACTGCCTCTGCTTACCTATTTCTACGAAAGAAATTTCTACTGCAGTGATAACACCTTGGGTGTAGGCTTATTGCATGGCCAGACTTTTCACTTGCTTGTAAACAAACACACTTACATAACGTTATTGCTTTGGTTTCAATATTGGTTTAGGAACTGAACTTTAAAAACTAGATCCATCAATTTGTCACTCAAAAGACAAACGCTGACATGATATGTGTATACAAAATAATTGTCACTGTTATTTAACTGTATCTGCATTGTGCAGAGTATGTTCAAGTATGTCTGAAATATAATTACATCAACTTGTCTGTATTGTTAACCAACCTCAGATTAGGAAGTCACTTCATCAACACATTATTCCAAGTCATTACAAATGCATTAGTGAACATGGTGAACATATTCCATAGTCTACAATGCACATCCCAGATTATCGAACAGGCTGTTACCCATCTGTAATAAGAGGGATGGACTGATACAAAACATCAACCGATGACTAATCTAAGACCTGTTGTTGGTTTTATTCCTAACAATTCCACTGTGTTGTACCGGAGACACAATGATACGACATGACATTATACCATGATTACACGACAACATTATGACATTGTCGTGAAGATGGTTTCGATAAATTAGTTCACAATGCCACTGCAATATAATGCTTGTTAAAATACGATACAAACCACGAAGATACATAGAGTTTCTCAATCACTAGGTATCGGAAACAAAACCATATGAATCACAATGTGTTAGACCTGTCTTCATGGATGGAATGGTCCTCGAAGCACCTGCTATTACAAACATCGCGAGTTTCGACATTTCCCGGAAGATATTCCCCTGTGGTCTTAATGGTAGATTAAGTTTTTGAAAACAATAAAATAATGTTCGAAATTCTTCCCCATATTACCTGCATCTGATTACGGATGCACGATTCGCATCACCATCATAAATGTCAGACATGATAATAACGAAGCAGCAGAGCTGGCATATTTTCAGTTAGTTTCGTATTTTTATCACAGAACATTGTGGGTTACATAGCCAGAAATATTTGTTTATTTGTAATTGAGCCACCTTCAATGACACCTAGTGTGATATTCTTTGTGTATCATAAGCAAAATTTAATATTTGCGAATGTGTGACTGGTTGTATTATCTCAGTACGAAAGCACGCCAAACACCAAGGACGCTGATTGGCAGCAAGACTTATCCCAGTCACAAGTGTCTACGTTGACCGGGTGACGTTGCTCATAGTAGACTTGAAAATAGTCTCCATTAACAACATATAATGGTCAGTCTGTGAACGACTATGCGTTGTTTCTGGACCTAAGAAACTCATATTCTTGCGATGTCAGTATAGTGTTTGAAATTTGTCCACGAATCCAAATAATATGTATAATCCTGATATAATATGTACTGTATAGATCTATGTCATTGTAATTTAAAATATAATATACATAATAATATACATCACGTGAAACTGATAGTTTAGCTGCGTTGGCGGAGCCCGGGGGATGTGTGTGTGTGTGTGTGTGTGTGTGTGTGTGTGTGTGTGTGTGTGTGTGTGTGTGTGTGTGTGTGTGTGTGTGTGTGTGTGTGTGTGTGTGTGTGTGTGTGTGTGTGTGTGTGTGTGTGTGTGTGTGTGTGTGTGTGTTATATTTGTTCTTCAATCATACCAGTGAGCAGACGCTCATTCTATACATGAAATTGTGTTACATTGTCGACGTATAATGCATTTTGGCAGTCGTGTGCCTCTTTCAACCATTCTAAACCCCTCTTTAGTTTCACTGACTATGCTAACAAACCAAAACATCAGACTTGTAGCGAATATCTTTTAATTGCAATTCATCTATGAATGAACGCCACAATAGGTAATTTAGACAATAATTGTTTTCTTGAGTAGAGTGCAACATATTAATGCCTGAAATTTCAGATTTATAAGGAAGCAAATATATGACCACGACGACAAAAGAAAGTCTTAATCTGCCTACAGAAGAAATCCTTTGAAATCGTAGTGATATGAAACTGAAAACATTGTTTGTGGTCAACATGCATAACCTCTGCAAAGTCAATGGAAGTGATTGTAATTTTGACACTTTCATAAAAGATGTAAAATTGCATTATAGAATACTGAACCATACTAGACAAAATGTAAGTGAAAAAGTAAAATCTTTATGTGCATAGTCTTTAACACTTATGACAACGGTAATATTAATTATGACCTATCATTTTTAAGCCCATCACCCTGGTATGTCCATTCACGTGACACTTTACAGGGGATGTAAAATCGCGGAATTTTATTGCTAATAAATGATGCTGAAAAAAATGTTATGTCAACATACTGATTTATTTAATAAATAAATAAATAAAACAAAAAAAACCCTCACTTATACCCATATTCACGTTAATGATTTATTGCCACGAGACCAACGTGACAGCTATCAAGTTTTATTTTATAAACTGAATTATATAGCCACGTTAGCAGGGATCTTGGCCTCGTTTGCCGTTCTATTAAACATCGTTTTTTTTGAAGCCAGGTGTTCCCTTCAGAGGACGTGCCACCATCTTTAAAACTCATTTGTGAGTTAAATTTGACCACACCCCACCCTTTTCAGTTTCGGTCATCATGACTGCCACGTAAGTAAGGGAATTAACTCGAAATAAAGCTGTAACGGTTACCCGGGTCGGGTCGTGTAATGTTACCTCGGGTACCCACGGCCTAATATATATTGAACTGTTGCATGAATGTGGAATGTTTGGTTAATTATCAAATTTTAACGGCTGTTCATTCAATTACATGATAAAAAAACGCATCCTTATTATTTTTCTTTTGGCCCTCAGTAAATGATAATAAGCAAATGTCGCACTGGTGCTAGGAATCCGATTCCTACATACCGGACGCCTGAAATCACTGACTCTCTCAGATTCACTTCTATCACAACCATCAATTACCCTTTACTACTTCCTGATATCCACTTTATTTGTGTTATATGAGCTGTTTCATCGACGGCATCGTTACTGTGTTCCTTCTCTGACGAACGCTTCAAGGAACATCAGTATTGCAACGGTGTCAAGGCACAAGCGAGACAGAATTATCCCCCTTATGTTTATGCCCATTGTCGTATTTCCACGCACAAGATAATCTGTATCACAGAACCTAGCTCGTTATTAGAACAGATTTTGCGAAATGTGAAATATTAATAATAAAATATTCATTTATTTTTTAACATCTTTCGTTATTTTGTTTTAGCTGAAAACACCCAGACAACGTATTCCGTTTCTTTTGCCAGATTAAATCTAAAACATTCTTTATGACAGGCACAGGACTCCAAACTAATGTTTGTGAAGTGTTATACATTTTATGTGAATTCATTTGGGATACACAACCAGTCATTTCACTTTGTGGAGAACACACCAAAAGCAGAATCTGACTTTTGAGGTCATACCTTTATCTTTATATATATACACATGCAAAACATCTGACTGCTTCCATTCCCGATAAGAACACACTATTTACCCTCACACTATATTAATACGGAAACCTTAATGACCAGTGTTTTGTTGTAAACCACTTGGCTTTTTCCTGTACATAATTATCTCTCTCCAACTGATTTTGTTTGTGTTTTTAACGCGACATCGGCATTCTAGTTTTTCGAAATCGCAAATCTGGACTACATAGTCCGGTGATTGATATCACGAGCATCCTGGGTCGGATACAGCTTTTTGAGAAGGGGGTGGGGATGTAGGGGGAACACTCTAGAGAAAGGATGGGGGTGCATACTTCATATTCACGAGTTTCAATGGTCACTTAATAAACTTTCATGACAAAGGGAGGGGCGGGGCGCACCCCTGCACACGCACAGACGCACGCACGCACGCACGAACGCACACACACACACACTCAGAGGATCCGCCTATGGAATCGATCCACGAACCTGATCAACTTAATCAGATGGCATGCATTAACCAAGTCCCCGTGCTTGAACATCCGATCCATTTGATCTCTTCTTACGACGGGGCGGTGGGGTAGCCTAATGGTTAAAGCGTTGGCTCGTCACGCCGAAGACCCGGGTTCGAATCCCCACATGGGCACAATGTGTGAAGCCCATTTCTGGTGTCCCCCGCCGTGATGTTGCTGGAATATTGCTAAAAGCGGCGTAAAACCAAACTCAGTCAGTCAGTCAGTCTTCTTACGACAACTGTCTGGGGACATTCTCTCCAGGCATCCTCGTGAGTTTCTTATACATAGAAAACGTACTTCACATACAAGCATGTGTCCGTGGACACGCAAACTGAAGCTGAGGAAATGAACTGACTTCACATCAATTACCAACACCTGTGTATACTTCTAATAATCAAATATGTATCTGCTATAGGAGATGATACATAATTATATATCACACACCGTTTATTCACAGGGGCTTGAACGTTTCTGTTTTGTAACATGGCGTATTTTCTATTAAAAAATAGTTTATCTATTGGGTTGTGACGGTATGTAGCTTGGCTGCGAGCAATAACACATTCAGTTATTCAACATAGAACTTGCGAGCTGAGTTTATATGGGCTTATTTAATCAGGTTACTTACTTATTTATAGTACCGGGTCAGTCTGAGGTCGATGGCCGGCTCCATGTCTACAGCAAATGTCAGTAAATATTCCCAAGTCGGAATTTGGGTTACGTTTATTGTTAAAATATCCTGAACCATTGTTGTGGAGGTGACATGTATATTTCGGGGAAACAGGACATGGTTTTTTAATGCTCAGTAAGAAAACATTTACTTAAAATAAATAATTAAAGGAAATAACGCTTTCAATTTTTTTTTAGCCAATGACACTTTCTTCGGAATCCCAGGAAACACGCTGAATATCTAAAGCGAATTTTTAATCACTACCAATGGCGGATCCAGGAATTTTCAAAGTGTGTGTGTGTGCGTGCGTGGTGTTTCCCGAACCCGAACACCCCCGGCTCCGCCAATATAGTCATTTTCAAAACAAAAAGGGGGGGTCGAGTACCCCTGAACCCCCCTCTGGATCCGCAAATAATTTCTAAAACATTTGTTGATTTTCCACAAATATTGGAATATCTTGAATTAAATCACGCTGTACAAAGTACGGATTACTGTTTCAGTATCATTACTTCCGCCAGCTCACGCGATCACGTTGAGGTATTAGGTGAGTGCGTGACAGATTGGATTGCATATTTCTATTCACTCATGTCATACATAAAAATAGATCTATACAAAATGCAGTGTCATTTTAATCATGCGCTATGTAACAAAATATAACGAAAATAAATAAATAAATACAAAATATTGGAAAGTGGACGGTTATCTTCAGTGTAAATCCCTCTCCAGAAATAGGTTAAAATGAAAATGCGGCGGTATTTGTCTATCACGTGACAGCCACAGGTGTCACAAAAGTGCGGCACACCTGTCAGTGGGCTATACTTCATTTACTGTAAAGATACACTGATACACTGTCGACTGTGCAAACTAAACACAATTTTCGAACTTGCTTCTAGTCATTGAAAACGTGTTTTTTTCTTAAAGTTACACTCAATTTCCTTTAAATATCTACATCGTATTTTCATTTGCCAAGTCTGCAGACAAAAAGAGGGAAATGCTTGTTAAAGCAACACCAGGCAATATTTTTATGTCGTGGTTGCTTATTGAGTGATCGTTGTGTCAGGGTTGGATGTGGAGAGATTTTGTGTTTGAGTTTAGCACTTTATAAATCACTGTTTAGGAGATCAATAATCCAGTTAAAATAATGGTTAACCTATTCCCTTATCAATGATCAATTATGAGCCGGACACCCAATGGTTCATTGCACAAACAACCGGGGTGAGATCGACTGACTGAGTATGGTTTTGGGTGAGATCGAACACAATCACCGGTGTCTTACATTGTTTCAACCCATGACGCTTGATACTCGAGAAGGTCCGGACTAGAATTGGTTTTCAGTGCTCAATCCATGTTTGTCGTAAGAGGCCAAAAACGGAATTGCATGGGTGGTCAGACTCGTTGACACATGTCACGGCATCCAGTTGCGTAGATTGATGCTCATGCTGTTGATCACTGGATTGTCTGGTCCAGACGTGATTATTTACAGACCGCCGCCATATAGCTGGAACATTGCTGAGTGCGGCGTTAAACAACAAACAAAACAAAAAACCCATATCAAATAAAGTCTAAAACGTTCACATAGAATAAAAGACCACGTGAGCACATTAGCTCGTAGAGTTTTTATTTGTCTCTCTTTTAAGATAACAGACGATTATATATTTCGACATTGAAATAGCGGCATCCGTGTACCAGATAAACATTTGATGGCATCCCGCACGGTGACATCCGGAATACCTTTTAGCGGTGGCAGGATACCTAAAGGGGGACCCCCTCTGAAGACTATAATGAGGATTGGGGGGTCACAATGTCTGACTGCACATTGGATCCACAGCAGGGAACTTGTGCTATGAACCGCATTTTCACACAGACACGTTCTTGTCCTATTGTCACAGTGGCCATATCGCTGACTGCGGCGTGACACGTCGTTGCCCAGGGACAGACAAACACTTATACGACTCCGTCTCCAGTATTGCCCATGTTAATGTAAAGTCGCTGCTTCATCGACAGCTACACCAACAGCATGTACCTACTGTCACCATACTTCTGGAACCGCTCTCATTGTTTATGCCAGTACTTTCTTAACATAATATTACTTGCAACATATAAGTTTGTAGGTAAATGTGACAAACAAATGAAAAATAAAGTGTTAAAAAATCATCTTCTTTCAGATATAATTCAAGTTTTAAAAGAAACAGACAAAACATCACTTACCTATCTTGCTTGTATCCAACAAACAATCTTTCGGCGTTGATAAGCAAGTTATTTCAGGTTTACAGCTGAGGACACCAAAAAGCCTGTTGAACTGATTGGAAACCGCAACTAAAATTGCTAAAAGTCTTTGTTCATAATTTTGTTTTAAAAACCCAATACAATGTAAAGTGAAATTAATTTAACTATTAATGTTAAATCTGTATTTAAATTAAACAAATGGTATGTTTTGTATTTAAAAATTGCTAATTAATTTTAGTGTTGTAGGTTTTATGTAGGCTTCTTGTACCGTGCAACTTGTCTGGAAATTTAGTTTAGGTTAAAAAGGAAACAGAAAAAAACAGATAATTCCTAAATCAGAAGCAATTTAAAAAATAATGCCGACACTAAAGTATGAAATTGGCAACAAATGCGTTTGAGAAAAGATGCATAAACTTGGGTCATCTAGACTAGGTAATCCTGGACACGTAATTTGTTAATACTGCCATCAGTTGTCAGAACAATTAGTTAATGAATCAAATTAATGTCAAACTTCCCACATTTTCTTACAGTTTCATTTGATGAATGTGCAGTTGTGATTATTAAATGCTTAAACGTATATTTTTTTCAGGCACATTCACGATTGCATGACGTCGTGAAAGTCAGGGATTTGACTTCATTGGCAGTTACTAAAATCAAGACTTTATGAAGCAACAATAGAGTGTATTGCGAGTCTCAACGTTAAAGTTTCGTATTTTTGTACCGATGAATGCGATCTGTTAGTGTCATAAAATATACAGAATCTAATAACATAATATTTGGAAGTTTTTGTGATTCCTTACATCGCTTATTCTGTAATTCCTCCTAAAACGTGGCACCGGAAATTTCACAAGTGACGTCACGTGAGCAAGATTCAGCCTTTTCCATTCGGGTTCCCCGAAAAGACGACTTGTCAGAAAGCGGGGTTGTCTAATCGAAACTCGATCCAAGATGGTAAGCTTCATCTTTAGATATTTTACCCATATATTGAAAGTTTAGACTTTGATCACTCTGTTTGCTGAATTTAGATGTACTAATACGTATATTTAGTGAGATATATCTATCCATATTTTGTTGTGTTGTCAACATGGTCAAACTCTTACACAATATTCCGAAATGACCTAGTCTGTTCGATTTCAATATGATCGTACACTGAAAGACATGTTAGCAATGACAACTGACATACATAGAGCGATCGGTTAATTGTTAATTAATATTAAGGTATTGGATGTATACATTATCATAAGTGCGACATTATCAGATCACAGGCCTGCGTAATGTCTGCCTCAGTCACATGCAGTTACCGTGTTTTCACGTTATGAACATATCTGCGTAGTTACCCACTTACACACATCTGTCATAAAGTTAATCATCCAAATATTGTTTTCTATGATTGGTATATGTACAAGAAAACATATCAATTCTACAGTATTGTGTGGCCCTACAAAGCTTCAGAATTGCCATAAGGTCATTGACACTTGTTAAAGTTGATCTGTTGATAACATTTCTCGTTTTCCGTAAGTCATCATCAATTGATCATATTGTTAGTGAAACACTAATGTCAGCTGTCGTCAACTGGTTAGGTGAAGTTTAAATTGGTTGCACACACACACACCTGACGAACTTGAAAAAAAAAATGTTTATTGATCTAATTCATCCTTAGTCAGTGGTTGGGGTCAGAAAACTAGAGATACAGTAGACAATATTTTGCAAAGTCATGGTGCAGTAAGGACCCACCCAACCACCAAGACTACCACCTCAGTGTATTGACATTTTGTATCAAAATTCAAAGAGTTGATGGTGCACACTGTCTCAGGGATTGGGATAGAGAACTTTGACAATGGGCCATTTTCAGGATTATTAGCCATTTTCTGAATTTAGAATGGGCCACTGCCCTTGTATCAATAGTAAACTTCAAAAATTTTAATGGGCCCTTTTTAATTCTAATGTACAAAATGGAACCTGCCTTTCCCAATCCCTGCTGTCTTTGAATTACAGGTAGCCAAATAAACTTAAGAATTAAATTCAAAAGGCCTTTTTCAGAAGTCTAATGTTAAAAGTTACATAAAAGGTGTGCCTTGATTCCGTTGCTTCTTCAGCCCAAATTATAGATCACCCTAAATGTGATTTGTGAAAGAAATAAAATAAATCCTGCAGATCAGCAAAGCTGGCACTCCAAGCGTTTACCAATAATTCCCCAATAGAGTGTCCCTGTTGACTAATTAGGGAAAGAAACAATGTTGATATTGATGAGGCATTCAAAATGTAATTGTATAAAACTGAACATTACAGACTTTTTATAGTCTTTGGTGGTCCTGTTGTCAGTGACACTTGTACGTTAATTATTACCAACAAAGTCAGTTGGGAAGCAACAGCTGCAGGGTTTCCCGTAATTTTCAGGTCTTGTGCCATGGTGTCAGATATGTATGCTGATGTACCTACATTGTTATTGCAGTGTTTTATATTGTGTTTCTCTAAATATTTTCAGGTGAACTTCACTATAGACCAGATCCGTGACATCATGGACAAAAAGAAAAATATCCGTAACATGTCTGTGATTGCTCACGTTGATCATGGCAAGTCTACGCTGACAGACTCTCTGGTCAGCAAAGCTGGTATCATTGCCAGTTCCAGGGCTGGTGAGACCAGGTTCACCGATACCAGGAAGGACGAACAAGAAAGATGCATCACCATCAAGTCCACGTAAGTTTGCAAATGATGAATGCTAAAGTTTGAAACTTAATGTAAGTCTTTGGGTATTTCAGTTGTCAAAGTGTATGCTATTTCAAGTGAATGTGAAGGTTTGAAATTGTGTTTTATAAGAATATTTTATTTGATTTCATTTTGTTATGACATTGGGATTGAGTATGTTTTCCATTCAGTGCCATCTCCCTGTACTACGAGGTTGCCGACAAGGACACATGCTATATTAAGAGGCCTGAAAAGCAGTGGGAGAGGGACAGCAATGCTTTCTTGATAAACTTGATCGACTCCCCTGGCCATGTGGATTTTTCCTCTGAGGTCACAGCTGCTCTCCGAGTAACAGACGGTGCTCTAGTGGTTGTAGACTGTGTTTCAGGTCCGTGAATTTGACATTAGCACTTTTCTGTCCAGTAGGTTTTAACCTATAGAGTATTATGGAGCAGACAGTATCCCTGTCTTTGTTGCATGTTACAATTGTTATAAGTATAAATATCAGTAGAAATCTATGTAATGGAAAAGAACTTTTCTTCTGAGAATTTCATATTGCTGTAAATTTCAAGGTACTCCAACTTTTGCTGGAAGAAAATCATTTATGTCTTTCCTTTTCTTGCCCCTGATTAAGAAGCTAGTGTATGCAAGCTCATTAGCATATCATGGCTTTATTTTCTGCAGGTGTGTGTGTGCAGACTGAGACTGTTCTGCGTCAGGCCATCACTGAACTTATCCGGCCTGTTCTCATGATGAACAAGATGGATCTGGCCCTGCTGACACTCCAGCTGGAGACTGAGGATATGTACCAGACCTTCCAGAAGATCATTGAGGACATCAACGTCATCATTGCCACCTATGCTGGAGATGAAGACCCAACTGACCCTGACAACTTCAACAATGATCTTCAGGTAAGTTTATGTTGATGTTATTTACACTATTATGACATGTTGTAACAAATATTCTTAACTTGGATGAATACATTCCTTCACTTTCATTCACCAGTTTAATATTCATGACATACTGACTCACTGTGATTACATCATCAGTGTTTGTGTTTAGCAATGATTTCCATTCTTTTACTGTTAAATTAACAATGGTCCCGTAGCTGTGTGACTGTCAGTACCAGGGAATGGCTGAAAACATATCTTGTAAATAAAAATGTTTAAACTGACAATTGGAGCATATTAACTATTCAGCTTGCTAACAGTGTTTGCATGTGATCTGTGACATAACACTGTGGTGCTTCGATAGTTTCATTTTTAGCCACTTTGCCAGGAACCAAAGTGTACAAGAGTATGTTTTGCTTTGCTTCAAAATCACATCTGGCAATGATGGGAAAGCAACACATTAAACTTTTAAACACAAGTGCAGCAAATTGCAAAAATGATCAAACAGAAAATTCAGTGTCATTGATCATAACCTAATGTTATCATAAGCACCATGGATATCAATGGAATCTAACAGAATTAATCTTAGTAGTATCAATTGTAACAATAATCACTATTTTGTAGGTCAGTCCCAACAAGGGAACAGTAGGATTTGGAGCAGGTCTTCATGGATGGGCTTTCACCCTGAAGGACTTTGCCCGTATGTATGTGAGCATGTTCAAGATCGAAGAGAAGCTGATCATGAAGAGACTCTGGGGTGACCAGTTCTACAGCAAGAAGGAAAAGAAGTGGTACAAGAAGACAGATCAAAGTGTACCCGTTGATGCCAAGAGAGGCTTCACCCAGTACATCTTGGATCCAATCTACAAGGTGTGTAGAAGATGAAGCAGAACCTTTCAATAAACAATGGTATTTTGAAGAAAAAACATTTGAGACTACCACCTCCACACGTGGCTTTTGGTTTCATTTTCAGTGTTACTTTATCTTGATCTGACCTTGCTAGATCAAACAGAATTTACTAGGCTCAAGCTTTGAACTAGTTATGTCACAAACTGCAATGGTAGCACAGGATATGTACCATCTCTCAATATGTCAGATTTCACAAGTGATGATATTTCGTGTTGATTATGGTGTAACATAGTGCAGTGTTTATTATTTTGTAAAGCTGTTTGTAAATCGGTGTAACTGAGGTGGTGAAGGAGCACCAGAATTCCACTGTCTGGCCATGATTAGCATCTGCTGTATTATTTTGCCCTGGATTTCTATATTTTCAAGTTTTGCAGCAAAGGGATTATGAAGGAAATGTACTTGCTGCTTTTCCCTGGAATTTCTTCCCACAAACTGCTGCTTTACAGTGCCATATTTCATCAGCTATATCATGATTTATTGTAGTTTTAATGCAGAATTAAGACAAAACTAACATGTTTCTTGTGTTTTCAGGTGTTCAAAACATGCATGAACGAACCAAAGCAGAAGGCTTTGGAACTTGTTGACAAGCTAAAGGTGCCATTGACTTCTGAAGAGAGAGACATGGAAGGAAAACCCCTCCTGAAGGTGACCAAACAGTCATTTTGCATGTGATTTTAACAAATTGTCAAGTTCCTGTTGGTGTTGAAATATACCAGACACAGAACTTCAGTCTATTTTCAACTTTGCAGCACTTATGGTAATATTTATTCAGGGTTCGAAATACCCCATGTATTAGCGTGCCATGGCATGGTAAATATCGAAATGGCACAGATAAAAAATGTTCTTGGTGCCCTTATGGCACGCCTAATTTTTTAGAGACATAGCACACCTTTAGTCATTTAATCCCCAAAACAAAACACTTAAGCAAATGACAAACAAGCAAAAACATTTATTGACTTTTACGCTGAGGAAATCACTGGAATTATGATGGATGATGTAAAGAAATCTGGTTGTTTTTCCAGTGTTGTGAGTACTGATAGTTTGGTTAGTGAAGAGTAAATTGTGTATGTTAGACATATTGAAAAAAGTGAACCTCTCACACGATTCTTAGCTATTAAAGGTGATGGGAAAGCAGAACAAATGTAACATAAAGCCATCTTAAGCCAAAGACATATCCGTGATAACCGAAAACTGGTTACATTTGTTGTTTTCTGACAATAAATTTCAAAAGATCATCATCCTTGCTACAGTCATTGATTCTAAAAATATGTGGGCACACTTGATTTCTGAAAGGCACACTTAGAAAAAAGAGTATTTCTATCCCTGAATTTATTGCTTTTATTGTCATCTCCAAATGCTAGGTCCATTAGGTTAAGTTGATGTGAAGTGCCGATCAGTGTTAAATCTTTGTGCATGAATTTCAGATCAGAAATTTTATAGTGGTGGTCCGATTGATTGAAATAATCGAAGATTGGTCGCAATGACTAAACAACCAAGCAATCGATCATGTTTTCTCATAATCGAACACAAACAATTTTGGAACACTTGTTTGCATTAACAATATTTTTCACAAGGTTGGTTTTGCCTGTTACTAAGTCATGATTTGCAAATGCATTGTGTGCAATTTGCCCCCAAAACCCCCGAAAGAACTACGTGTTTTTTCTTTGTTTTGTGCATCAAGAAACATAACCAGGAAAATATGATAAATTACACTAATCAATTATTTTCGATGATTGATCGGTTGCAATGAACCTATCATCAATTATGAGATTTTAACTAATTCCCAACACTAAAATTTTGTGACTACCAACTAACAGAAGTTAACCTGAAGGATTTGCTAACTGAACAATAACAACATAACTTCCCTTGTAAGGTCATAAAATCTTCTTACCTTCGCGATACATTTAGGATGAATTCAGTGGTTAGCTGGCAAGTACAATAGTCAATGTCTTCATTCAGTTTCTAGATGTAGAAGTAATGTGATGGTTACCTTTGAATCATTGTTCCAGACCTTCATGAGGAAGTGGCTCCCTGCTGGTGACGCCATGTTGCAGATGATTGTGTTCAACCTGCCCTCTCCAGTGACTGCCCAGTTCTACAGAATGGAGCTGCTGTATGAAGGCCCCCTTGATGATGAAGCTGCTACAGGTAAACAACTAAACACATTCAGACCACATCTCATTTTCTTTCATAAAGGCCATTTGAAACTGATATTAATGGTGAGTTCGATTAACATCAGATCTTTTACTCTGCACAATACTTCTGTGAAGGACCGAGAATAACTGGGGCGGTCCACTGGCCGCACTGAAGACTGGTTCAATTCTCCGTTGTGTTCCATTGAACACAAACATACTACACTCATTTGTGTCTAGCTGGCATTGTGCACAAAGCCACAGGATGTACACATTTCCATATCAGTGTAAGAGCTTTAAATGTTTTTAATTATTGAAGTGTAAATGCAAGCGTTCCCACATGTCCAAGGGCCGTCCGTCCGTCCGTCAGTCCGTCCGTCAGTGCACATTTGTCTTTTCCGGAGCAGAACTCTAAAACCGTTTAATATGTCTTCACCAAATTTGGCACATATATAAATCTGGTGGTGTACTTGTGCCTTTTGGTAGTTTTGGAATTCTGAATAAAATATTTTTGGCGTTTCCATGGCGACAAGTTTGACTTAGACTGAAATTGGTGATAGTGCTCCTTTCTGGAGCAGAACTTTTAAACCCTTTCAATACTCTCCTTCCACTTTTCTATGTACACACCTAAATATGTGACATAATCATAACTCGTAGACATAATCATGAAGAGTATTTTGCCATTGCGGGGTATATTGATGACTTTGTCTTCTTGTTTATTTCTAGAACCAACAAAAAGGCTGAAGTTAATTAGTACTTCCATGAAATATTTGGGAAGTTTATATGAAATGGGCAAATTTTTAACAAGTGTTTTTTTAAAAACTTTATTCAGGTATCAAGAAGTGTGACCCAAAAGGCCACTTGATGATGTATGTGTCTAAGATGGTGCCCACCTCTGACAAGGGTCGTTTCTATGCCTTTGGACGTGTCTTCTCTGGCACCGTCGGCACTGGTCAGAAGGTGCGCATCATGGGACCCAACTATGTCCCAGGCAGCAAGGCTGATCTGTACTGCAAGAACATTCAGAGGTGAGAAGTCTGGAAATAAAAGCTCCTAATTATTGTTGACAATTATTATCCCCCAAATTAGAATTCTCTAAAGATAGGAAAGTAGAAGTTAACAGAACCTGGAAAAATTAGTTTCAGATTGTTGGATGAATTGTTGTGCTGTCATATGATTATATCTTATGGCATGTCCAGGTTGTTTCCAGGAGATTGACAAATTGTCATCCAAATTGAACTAAACATATTTTTTGCCTAGCTGGTAGTGATGTAGAAGGTCCTGTCAGTAGTTAAAATGGCCTTTAAATGTCCTTGTGCCACATTTCTGTGCAATATCACTGGTACTGTATTAAAATATCCTTTCAGTGTGTTTTTTGTTTGGATTTTCTTTAATGTTTAATATGCACATGTATTTACAAGTGATTGTGCTATTTGCTATGATGTAGATGTCTGAGCTTGTGCTTTATTTTCCTTAGGACCATCCTGATGATGGGGAGATACACCGAGGCTATCGAGGATGTACCCAGTGGCAACATCTGTGGTCTGGTTGGAGTTGACCAGTACCTGGTCAAGACAGGAACAATCACTACCTACGAAAATGCCCACAACTTGAAGGTATGCAAATTTGTCCAAACTTAAAAATGTGTATGTGCTGGCACTTAGCAAAATTAGTTGCATTGTGTTTTTGCAATTAGTTGCATTGTGTTTTTGCAATGTTGTAATTTAAGTTGAACAATTCAGTGAACTAGCAAGAATGTGTTATTCAGGTGATGAAGTTCTCCGTGAGTCCTGTCGTGAGAGTAGCTGTTGAGTGCAAGAACCCTGGTGATCTGCCTAAACTGGTAGAAGGTCTCAAACGTCTAGCCAAGTCAGACCCTATGGTGCAGGTATGTACGCATTGACAGTTACAATTTCTTTAACAGTATTACTTAAATATTTCCTGCAAGCAGATATATAACATTCAGTTGTTCCGTACTTGCAATACTTTAGGGCATGAAGGCCAGTCTTGTTTAGATTCGGTTTTAGAATTGTTACCCATAAACCTATTTTTGTTGGCCCAGGTGGCTAAATGGTTTGGGTGGCCTGGCTCAGGAACTTAGTTGATTGTATGTCTACATAAGCACACTACTTTGGCATTGTGGGGTATTGCTTTTAAGATCAGTAACTGATGTGTTTAGTTCAGACTATTACACCAAGTTGGTATACTGTTGAGTTAGTAAAACAGCACAGCTGGTCTGCTTGAGCAGTGTTCATACAAGTTGTCATGGTTGTTTCCAGTGTCAGATTGAGGAGTCTGGGGAGCACATCATTGCTGGAGCCGGAGAGCTGCATCTTGAGATCTGCTTGAAGGATCTGGAGGAGGATCATGCCTGTATCCCTATCAAGAAGAGTGACCCAGTTGTGTCCTACAGGGAAACCGTAACTGAGGAGTCCAATATCACTTGCTTGTCCAAGTCGCCCAACAAGCACAATCGACTTCACTGTAGAGCTGCACCTATGCCTGATGGTCTACCAAAGGCTATTGATGATGTACGGTTTTACCTCTGTCTTCATGTGGTAGCAATCCATTATGGTTTATGTTCTTATTAGGAAAAGGGAAATAAATGTAAACGTTTCAAGAGTTTTAAGAATATCTGGTATGAAACAATGGGTGGTTTGGGGGGAAATAAGTGAACTCTTTGGTTTGTTTTGATCTTGTTCATTTTCTTTTGCAGGGTACAGTTTCACCAAAACAAGACTTCAAAGAGAGGGCACGTTTGCTTGCAGACAAGTATGAATTTGATGTGACTGAAGCCAGAAAAATCTGGAGTTTTGGACCTGAGGGAACTGGCCCAAACATGCTTGTGGACTGCACCAAAGCTGTTCAATACTTGAATGAAATCAAGGACAGTGTTGTGGCAGGATTTCAGTGGGCCACCAAGGATGTGAGTTCAGAATTCAGGCTTCCTGTTTATTCTGTTACATACTATTCACCTTTGTGCTAGTTGTTTTAAAAAGTTCTTAAGAATGTCTTAAGATGAATTTTATATGTTAGGAGTGGCAACAGAAGTTTTCTTCTTACAACAAATGGTTCATTTTCAGCATCAAATTTAATCTGATTTCGACTTTTCTCATGATCACAGTCTGGGATTAATACCTTGGGCAATGGTAATAGGTGATGCCATCTGACTGTCTGAATCTGAAAAAGTTAACTGGGTGTAATGCTTTTGGACTAGAAGTAAATGGCATATTTGGGGACGTTTGAGTGAAATGGCAATGAAGGAATAGTTTCCATGTGTTTCTTTAAACATTGTCAAAAGGTATTGTTGAAAAGTATTTTTAAGTGTGCCCTTCAGGTGCCAGGCAAGTTAACCCTGCCATAACAGTATTGAGTGCCTTCAGGCCAACAATCTTTGCAGGATAACCTTAGGCTGCATTAGAGTTTGAGAATTATTGTTGAACTGAGAAGATTATTTTGGGGGAGTGGGCCCCGCACTGAAGTGAATTTAAAGCCTGTTAGTGTTTAGTAACATGAACTGTCTTTGGATTGTACTCAGCAATTATTTAGTACATCATGATCAAAAGAGTCATCTGAACATTATTGGGTGAATGTTGACCATCCTGAATTATTCAGGGTATGGCATCTGTTGTCATGACAAATTTCCAGTTTGCCTACATGTTTTTTATTGGAATGGCTTTGTTATTGTCAATTACCTAATGAACTAACTGAAGTTTGTTTGCTTTAGTGCTAAGACTCCTTTGTCCTGTATTTGGAGTTGCCTTTATCACCATACATTCCTGTTTGCAGGGAGTTTTGTGTGATGAGAATATGAGAGCTGTACGTATGAACATCCAAGATGTGACTCTCCACGCCGATGCCATCCATAGAGGAGGTGGTCAGATCATCCCTACAGCCAGGAGAGTGTTCTATGCCTCTGCACTGACAGCTGAACCCAGGCTTCTTGAACCGGTCTACCTTGTAGAGATCCAGGTATGTACAATCTACTGAAGAACTTGCACTACGTTTGATGGTTAGTTAATTTGGTTGGGTCTTAAGAGTAGTGAAACGTTCTTCTTTCATGAAATACATTAAAAAATGGTATGTTTCAGTGTCCCCGTATTGCGGCCTCTGGAATCTTTGGTGTGTTGAACAAACGACGTGGTCATGTGTTCGAGGACAACGACGTTACTGGCACCAGCATGAGCCAACAGAAGGCTTACCTTCCAGTAAACGAGTCATTTGGTAGGTTTGTTACAATGCATTGGAGGGTTATTATGGGTTGGCCGTTTTGGTTATTTGTGTTTAATTCTGATCACTTGATTGTAGGATCCAGAAAAGAATATCTACAAAAAGCTCTCATAGAGCTTTAATATTACTAAGTGCAGTCTTAATCAACAAACATATTAAAGCTACTCGCTTGTACATGTTCACATCTTTTTCAAACAGAAAAAATAGTAAATTCATTGATGACCAAGTAAAGCCTGCCATTTGTATGTAATAGAACAACTTGTAAGTCATGTGAACAGTTTTTTTTATGTAGAAGGGGTCCTTGCATTAACTACCACTGTTTACAACATTCAGTGGCTATGATAGTAAAATCCTCTGATTTGTCACTTGGCTACTGAGAAGAAAGAGACGTGTTTTTTTCCTGAATGTTTTTCCTTGTAATCTGAATGAGGCAGTCACTGTTCATATTACGTATGTGCTTCTTTCCTCAGGTTTCACATCAGCCCTTCGTGCAGGAACAGGTGGTCAGGCTTTCCCCCAGTGTGTGTTTGATCACTGGCAGGTTATGCCCGGAGATCCCTTAGATGGCACTTCTAAACCAGGCATCATTGTTACTGATACAAGGAAACGCAAGGGTCTCAGCGAGACAATACCACCACTTGACAAATACCTGGACAAGATGTAAATTATCGTTAATCTTTGCTTCAACAAACTTTCACATGTATTTACCTGTAATTTAAATTCTGATCAGTGGTACTGGGACATGAAGCAACTTGATTGCCAACAAAGTTGAAAAAAAAGTGCTAAATATGTGGACGATCACAAACTCTGGACTGAGGACTTTAACAAAGGTGGCCAAATAAAACAAATCCGCTTTCTGATGTCATCTGACTGTTAACACTTGCAAAATGTTTGCAATCTAGAAAGTGATGCTTGCTCACCATCACATTTTAAGAGAAAAATGACAAACCTGGAATAAATTGTGCTACACTACCTGTTGTGCATGCATGTCTTGAATTTGGACCTACATTGTAAAGGAATGTAAACATGTCCATTCTGTGATACTAATATGGTATGGTTGTCTTGGACACTTGTGAAGGACATCGTTGACAATCTAGATATTTTACTTAGTAGACCAAACCTAATCCAGGTTAGAATTGGTCTTCAGCAACTTGTGCTTGTCATAAGAAGCAACCAAGGGGAAATGCTTGTCAGGCTCACTGACTGGCTGCCATATGCTGTAATATTGGTGAGTGCAGTATTGAACAGCAGACAAACCAACCCACCAATTTTGTAGATCGATACTCTTGATTTTGATCACTGGATTGTGTGGCCCTGACATGATTATTTACAGATTGAGGTGTAATATTGCGGAGTGCACATACATTGTACATGCTTCTCCATAAAAACATGCACACACGCACACCCCTTCCAGCCATAAATTATGAACGGCCCCTAAGGGCAGACTAGTGAGAAGCCATTTTGGTTTCCCGTATGGAAATCTATTTAACTGAGAATTACTTGAATCAATTTGTATTCATTTAGTTCTTGTACTGACCCGTGAAGATCCGGCTTAGAATATTGATCTTCAGTAACCCATGCTCGTAAGAGGTGACTAACGGGATCAGCTGGTCAGGCTTGCTGACTTGGTTGACACATGTCATCGGTTCCCAATTGCGTAGATCGATGCACATGCTGTTGATCACTTGATTGTCTGGTCCAGACTCGATTGTTTTTTTACCGCTGCCATATAGCTGGAATATTGCTGAGTGCGGCGTAAAACTAAATCCACTCACTCGCTAGTACTGTGGCTTTTCTCTCCATTGAAGCGACTTCTGTAATAATTAAAAAATAACCAAATTTCTTTTGGTATGTTTTCAGTGAATTTGAACAATAATTACGTGGGTCAAATTACCTTGAGGAAATTCAGGAATTCACAATTTCAATGACTTTGATGAATGGTTTGGAGATACGACCAATTTTGGAAGGATAGTCGGATAGTCGCACAAGAGACAATCCCGTTTGAAAGTTTGCCAATTTGGTCAATGATAAAAACAGTCTTGAGTTGAAGTTACAGTTCAGTAAGATTTGAGGGCATGTGCTGTTTTTGGGACGAAAACTTCACCAGATGGTTATGGATTGTGGCCCGTTTTCATTGGTGAAATCAGCAAGCCAGTTCGACAAAAACTGGGCATGACACATATGAGCTTCGATTTAGTGTATAACAGATGACACATTTTGCAACATAATTTCGCCTTAGTTCATATGAATAAACTCGTATTCCAGCCAAGTTGGTATAGTGCGAAGTCGTTTAGTTATATGCTGGACTAAATTTCGCCCATACACACACGTATTAAACATTGTCACAAATATGAATTCACATATACCACTGACTCTGCAGATCACCAGTTCAAGTGAGGTTTCGCAAATCTAGTTTCATTGAGTAAATGCAAGAAAGGCCAAAGTAGCTCGCACTCTAGCCGAGAGCCGCGATGCGGTCCTATACAGTCAAGACATGACCCTGCATCGCGATGCAGGGTCATGTCTTGACTGTATAGGACCGCATCGCGGCTCTCGGCTACTCGCACTCATGACTGCCATGATTGGCGAATGCGGATTTCGTGGATGAAGCGGTGGTGTCCGAGAACCAAGAATATTGTGCCACTGCCATCAACAGCGGTAATCAACCACTTCTGATTCACTAAGGGCGCGATTGGGTAGCCTTTGGTTCGTCAAGCTTAAGACCTTGGGTACGATGTGTAAACACCATTTCTGTCCTGTGTGAAATTACACAACATCGCTGAAAGGGGCGTAAAATCATCCTCTCAATATTTTACTTTCTTGAAAGGTGAGATGTCATGTCAGTTGAAATCACACCGTTTTGGATTATCCTATTCAGGTGTAATGACGAATGTGATAGTTTATGCACATTATTAAATCTGTTGTTGACTTTGATATATCCAAACATCCATTAGCCTAAATGAGCCCGGCGATGACGCTGCAGAAACGTACAAGAGTTATGTCCCTTTTCATTTCTGACACTAAATATTGTCAGATATTACAATAAATGGTATGAAAGGCACAATCTAATGAGGTCCAAAATTTTCGCACCGAGTATTGTTTTTGAAGACTAAACTTTCATTATATGTGTGAATGTTATTGAGAAGCCCTGTGAAAAGAAGATTTAAGAGGAACTTCAGTTATCCTGTCCGGCTCTCAGCCAAAGGGGATAAAGCAATTACTGAAGTCGCATAGGCAACAGTTACCCTGAGGTTGTGCGTTGTCCAAGACGATGCAGTCCGGTCCGATCGTACCGCTATGCGGTCGTCCGAATACCATTCTGAATAACCTCCGTCATTATGTAATAGTTCTTTTAAGTGCCAGGGGATAAAGGTAACTTGACTAGTAATTTATAATTGTATAAAAACTTCATATTTTGTCTGCAATTGCATGTGATACTTCATATTAAAAAATGCATTTGTATTTTACATTCCCGTTAATTGTCCAGTTTTATTTATTTATTATAAATACCATTTGGTCATGTTAGGAAAACAATAAGGAAAGGCAGGCACTGAAACAGTGTAATATGAAGAAATTGAATGATGTCTGACCCGCACCTCGGCTGCGATAATTGACCTCAGCCAAGAAAACACTTTTTTCTTCTGAATATGTCGGTATTGATAAACAACATTCTGAATAACCTTTTTCGTCAGTGCAATCTATTATATTTAAATGTTCTATTTAAGTGTAGTTTTCTGACATATTTGTAATAGAGTTCTAAAAAGAGTTTTCCCCCGCGTCAACGGACATCTCATTATTAACTACCTGAGGGAAGTTGACCCGTATCATATATTGTAACTATGTAATGTGAATGACGAAGTGCTTGTTTTTGAATTTGGTGCTATGACATATTCTGTTTGTAAATAATAATGTAATGAATATATGTTTTAAAAAACAACAACACAGTTGGACTTTGTAAAATGTTTGTGAATGCAGACTTCACCTTTTCACTATATAGCTGGAATAATGCCGATGTGACGTAAAACCCAACTCAACTCCAAAATGTTTCTTAGACTTATGAATAATAGACTCTAAAGCGCGAGCATTTCTGGTATTTTTGTTAACAATTATTCCAACCTTTATAAATATTAAATGTCATAATCTTTATTTCAAAACAGGGGATTGTTCCATTCAGTTTCAAAGGGCGTACACAGGCGTTTGTTTTGAATAGTTTTAACTTTGGTGTAAAGCAAGTGGTAGCGCGACAAATGGGCCTTGAGAAGTGGGCTATGATCTGTCCATGCAGACGTGTGGCTGTTCTAAGTCGGATGCATGTATTCGGTATGACATGTCTCTGGTATGTTGATACTGAATTTGTTCAAATCTTATAATTTGAGAAATGACAAACTGTCCAAAACGTATATTGATCACGTAAATAATGAATATTTTTGTCTACGTTACGTGACGTCTGTTATTGCTTGGCGATCTCAAGTTTCTCTGTTGTACTCTCAGGTAACGCTTTATGCTCTAATACTATATCGACCGCCATCGTGGTGTAGTAGTTAGAGCGTCCGCCCGGAGAGCGGAAGGTCGCGGGTTCGATCCCCGACCGCGTCATACCAAAAGACGTTAAAATATGGTACTTGTTGGTCCCTGCCTGGCGCTCGGCATTAATGGGTACAACAAGGACTGGTCGGCTCGGAGTCAGTATAATGTGTGTGAGTGGGGTATTCATGCTTCACTGCGGCATGGTATCTCAGTGGGCTAGCACAATAAAACCAGCTTAAGTCTTGGCTAGTACAAGCAGCCGCACATACACATACACACGCATGCACGTCGTCATATGAGCGAAATATTCTCAAGCACAACGTTAAACCCAATTGCACCTCACCTCTAATACTATATAGTTTTCGAATACACATCTGCGATGATCTAAAGTTAGCATACGACAAGTATACGGCGTGCACGTCACGATGTGACTGAAATACTGCTGACGTGACTCAAAATCGAATCTTACTCACTCACTCAGTAGTTTTATCAACATAAGTAGGATACAAAGCCTGGTACAGACAGAAATTACACAATTAATGCATGGATATTCAAATATTTTGTAATGTTGTTTGAAACGTGTTCAGTTGAAAAGAATGTCTATAACAAAGCAATAGGTTCCTCGCTGCATGGCCAATATAGCCTGGGACACTCTCAATATTTAATATTCTTATTTATGTAATAAAATACGGCAGTCCTTAAAAAATGTAGACAATGGAAAACTTGGATAGCAACACAAATAATCGAAACATACGAATAATAACAAATATATCTCTGATTAAAAAATTGAAAACCTCAAACAGACCGAGACCAAACTATTATAGGGAAACGAATTGGTTCCTATTCGCATGGTGTGGTTTAATGAACCACACGTGAAACAATCGGCGTCAGCTTTCACAGACCGCCCAACACCTGTTGTAAGTTACTGGTCAGTCCTGTGTGTGGGAGACCTCTCATTGCCATTGGACTCCTCGCGTTAGGGACCGTTCATAATTTATAGCTAGGGGGTTTGATGATGATTTTTATGGAGAAGCATGTACAATGTGAATGACCCCCCCTATAATTTATGTACAAAATTAGTGACCCCCCTGCATGTCATGTACAAAATCAGTGCCCCCCCCCCCTCTCCTTCCCATAATTTCGAAACATAATTTTAAACATACTTTTATGTACAAAATTGCTGACCCCCCTAGTACGTGTGTACAAAATTGCTGACCCCACCAGCACAAAATGGGTGACCCCCCTTTAAAATCATCATCACCCCCCTTGCCCTAAATTATGAACGGTCCCTTACATTTACCAGTCGTGCATCAAGCGTCGGTGCACGGAGACTGTGCACCGTCGTGTAGTTGGTCCTGATGATGCGTTGAGACTGAATGTGATGTGCACAGGCGGTTTCTTTGGATGTGAGTATGATTATGTGTTTTTCTGTCCTCAGAGGGCTT